CAGTGGCCGCTCCCAGCCACCGTAGCCTCGACCTGCTGGGCTCCGGCAATCCTTCCGTCTCAGCCTTCCAAGTAGCTGGAACTACAGGTGTGCGCTACCATGCCCAGTTAATTTTTTATTTATTGTAGAGATGAGGTCTCGCCAAGTTGCCCAGGTGGGTCTCGAACCTGTGGGCTCAGGCAATCCACTCACTTCGGCCTCTCAAAGCACTGGGATTACAGGCTGAGCCACCGAGCCCAGCCACCAATGTTTCTTAAAGTAAAATGGCATTTCCTTCTTGGAATGAAGCTGCAATGGCAGTCTCTGGACACTTGCTGTCCTTAGAACACTGGGACATTTCAGAGTCTAATCACATAAAAAGGAAGAGTTCCAGAAGTAAAAATCAGGCCCCAACCTGGCCTCCACCCCAGTACACACACACAACATCTTTTCTCCATGTTAGTGCACACTAGTGCACTCAGGCCACTAGATCCAAAAGGTGTGTGTGTGGTAACCACTAGCTGCTGGGCTTTACTACCAGCCCGAATAATGAACAGTAGACAGAGACAAGATAGTGAATGGGGATCCGGAGGGATTATCTGGGCAGAAAGAGCAGCCGAGAGAAGATTCAGAAGCACACATGGGTGGAGTGAACCCTGAGGATACATACATTTTCATGGATCAGTAGCACCTTGAATGTCAGGAAAAAGGCCTAAGACCTGATGTGAAAGGCAACGGTCAGAATGATCTGATGGAAGCCATGTTGTAGGAAAATCATTGCTCTCTGCAATGCTACAGTGCATGTAAGACCCCCAATGGGAGGGCCTGATTAGGACCCAATGCCACCCAACATCGTCCTCTTACTCTGTGTATGCATGTTTTTGCTTCTCAGGGAAGAATGATCCATTCCTCAAGGATGAAAACCAAAGTTGATGTTTCTTTTGAACATCTCATGACCTCCAGGACAGTATTCAGCAGAGTAGGCACTCAGTGCTTACTTTTGTTTTTGTTTTTTTCTTTTCTTTTTTTTTTTTTTTGAGTTGGAGTCTCACTCTGTCGCCCAGACTGGAGTGCAGGGGCACGCTCACAGCCACCCCGGTGCTGACCTGCTGGGCTCCAGTGATCCTTCTGCCTCAGCTTTCCAAGCAGCTAGAACTACAGGCGTGTGCCACCATACCCAGCTAATTTTTTTTTTTTTTTTAGAGACGATGTCTCTCCATGTTGCCCAAGCTGGTCTTGAACCTGCAGGCTTGGGCAATCCTCCCACCTCGGTCTCTCAAAGTGCTGGGATTACAGGCTTGAGACACGGTGCCTGGCTTATTTTAGTTATTTTTAAATAAACAATAAATTATTGTTAACTACAACCATCCTAGTGTGCTACTGAATACTAAATCTCATTCCTTCTATCTAATTGTATTGTTGTACTCATCGACAAACCCCACCTTATCTCCCTCTCCTAGCTACCTACCTTTCCCAGTCTCTGGTAACTATCTCTGTCTCCATGAGTTCAATGGTTTTTTTGTTTTGTTTTTTTTCTCCCACATATGAATAAGAACATGCAATATTTATCATTGTGAGCCTGGCTTATTTCACTGAACATAATGTCTTCCAGTTCCATCCATGTTGTTGCACTCTTTTTTTTTATGGCTGTCTAACATTCCATTGAGTACTTATCCCACATTTTCTTCCACCATTCATCTGCTGATGGACACGTAGGTTAATTCCATGTCGTGGCTGCCATTAACATGGGAGTGCAGGTGTCCCTTCAATATACTGATTTCCTTTCTTGAGGATACATACCCAGCAGTAGGATTGCTGGATCACGTGGTAGTTCTATGTTTAGTTTTTGGAGGAATCTCCATGCTGCTCTCCACCGTGCTGTACTCATTTACATTTCCGTCAGCAGCACAGGCGTTGCTTATCTAAGAGGGCTTTTGGTTTTTTTAAATTTTTTTAGTCAGAGTCTCACTCTGTTGCCCAGGTTGGAGTGTCGTGGCACGCTCACTGCCACGCTCACGACCAGGCTCAGGCGATCCTTCTGCCTCAGTTTTCCAAGTAGCCAGAACTACAGTAGCGCGCTACCAAGCCCGGCTAATTTTTAATTTATTGTATTTATTGTTTGTTTGTTTTTTAATTTATTGTAGACACTAGGTCTCACCATGTTGCCAGGGCTGGTCTCGAACCCGCGGGCTCAGGCAATCCGCTCGTCTCGGTCTCCCAAAGTGCTGGGATTACAGGTGGAACCACTGAGCCCAGCCCTGAGAGGGTTTTAAAGGAGAGAGGAGCATGCACCTCTACCCTTGCTTATTCTGCAGACACATGGGACGAGAGCTTGGGTTTCCAAATAAAACTGATCTACATTAGAAATTTACTTTTAAAATTTTGAGATAATGTAGATTCACATGAAGTTGAAAGAAAAGCTAGAGAGCTCCCCTCGAGACGCGCCACCCAATTTTTCTCAAGGGTAACATTTTGCAGAACTGTAGGGCGTACACTCTCGCAACTAGGAAACTGACATTCGTGCAGTCAGGACGCCTTCCTAAAAGGTCCCCAGAATTACGGACTCTCGTCGGTGTTTGTCTTTAGTTCTATGCAACTTTGCCACACATGTAGTCAGTCGGCTTTTGAACCTCGGCTGCGTGGAGCACTTGCTGTGGGGTCCTCACCGAGCTCTTTGACTCCTGGGAGATTCCGTTCGCTCGTTTGCAAAGTGGGTAGAACGTCTGCCTCCTAAGGGTGGTTGGGGATTAGGTAGGACACTTTCTGTCGCGTTTCCAGCACGCCGGATTCTCAGCGAGTGCTGGCTCCCTTCTGGGCTAGTGCTTGTTCTCTCACTAGCAAGGGAGCCGTCTCCAGCTTCTGGCTAAAATAACCAGACTCGTGGGTTGTGAGACACGAGGCGGATCCTTCCTCAAGGGCAACACATTCAGCCCCGCAGCTCAAAGGGACCCAGGGGTGCTGCCTCGGGCCCTCAGCCGCCACCGCCGCTGGGCCTGGGCTTGGGCTCCTGCTGGGTGGCACTCAGAGCCCAAGGGTGGGGGTGGGGGGTTGAGAACGGAGACTTTGGGGAGCTATGGAGTAGGGTAGGAGGTGGCGATAAATACCGAGCAACCGTTAACAGGAGAACCGCCAACTCCAAGGAGCTTCCGTCCTGGGCGGCTGTGGCCGGGGTGGGATGCACGGGGGGCGAGAGCCCCTGGAGACGCGGTGGGCAGGTGCGGAGGCCCGTCCGAGGGGTGGGAGGGTCGCACGCACTCCCGAGGGTTCAGAGTCAAGTCCCCAGCCCTTCCGCCTCCTGGGCACCCTTCCGGTGACCGCCAACGGGCCCCCCAGGGCTAGGGCGCCGGGGCCGCCTGGGCGCAATCCCGCCTTGAGGTCCGCGGGCGGGAGGCGGCGGGGGCGGGGGGA